TTTTGTACGATTACATATTTCTTTACGAAGTTTTGCATTTATTAGCAATAAAGCTAAAAGTATGTATATAACGTAAAGATTTTACTTTTTGGAAAGAATCCAAATGGTATATGAAATTTAAAAAAAAATTATAAGCCAAACATTATTTTAATACGAATTTCTTGAAAAAAATTCTTGTCTTTCACTAAAATCTGTCACGTCATTTTTATCATTATTTTTAACCAAATGATTTTACATTCGAATTCCATTTTTTGAGGAGTTTTATTTGTTGAATGAAAATTTTCAAATGCATTCGCAATTTCACTTATTTATGTCATATAGTGATGAGTAAACATTGAATTCACGTTATGGCTTTTAAAATTATGTATATATTTGTTTACTTAATATTACATTTCATAATCTTATAACAGCTGTTAAAATACATTAGGCTGACGTTAATATCTTTGATGTAAATTATTTGCAAATAATTTACACATAATGCCTTTAAAAAATTCTTGAAAGTTATTCATCTTTAGGTGTTATTGTTGATTCATCTTTTTTGCACGATTTTTTAGCTGCTTTTTCTGCTTGTATTTGCTCAAGTACTTGAGGTAGTACTAATTGAGCAAGTTTTTCACATTTTAGAAGCCTTTTCTTTCCAATTCTGATATTTTTCACTAACTTTTGGTATTTATCTAAATAACAACGTCCTGTTGAAGGATCTTTACATCCTTCGACTTTTAATTGGGTTGGACAACAGGTTCTTTTGTCGTTCCAGTAATAAATCTAAAATTAAAAAAAAATAGTAATAGTATTAATTGATAATTGATACATAAGCCTATATAGTCATATAATAGATAAAAGTTCGCAAACTCAAATTAAGTAGAAAATTTTGGGCAAGTCAATTCTTTCAATTTTTCATTTGAACTAAACTAGAAAAATATTCATCTTACTTAAAAATATTTAGAAGAGAAAAACGTATTTTTACTTAACGAGCCAATACATATTTCTATATAGTTTTTTATGGTCCTGGATTTTTTTGGATTTTTTTAATATCAATACCAATTTTGTGTAACCTCAAGGCTATAAATTGTAATATAATTTTTATTTTCACCTGTTTTATTCAAAAATTTATTAATGCAAAATTTTTAATAAAGAATTCTACCAGCATGAGCATGAGTCATACAATAAATCATTTTAGTGAATTTGGTAATTGTTAATTATTTAATTCTAACACAATTGAGCTTGATAAACTATAAATGAATATTTAACAATTTTTTTAATTCTGTTATTTTTATGTATTTATTCATGTGTTTAAATTAGTGCTAGTGATAAAAATGTTTTTCACCTTATACTATTAAAATCTAAAATTAATAATCTAGAAAAGGTGAGATTTCTGACCTTTTATGTAATACCTTATATATTATCTTTCTTCGAAATATTCTGATTTATTTACATTTAATATTTCAAAAAAGTGCAAGACTTCCATATTTATATATATTTATATATATATATATATATATATATATATATAATATACTAGATAACCCGACAGTCGTTGTCCTATACTTATGTTTACAATTCAAAAGTTCCAATTTTTTAATAATAATCTATACTGATATATACCAATTAGTTAAAAATTATTATGTTTTTTTATACTACAGTCTATACCGAAATGTATATACATCCACCCATATGGACTTAAATGTACAACTGCTTTAAATAAAATGATGAGTATTTGTTTTTTTGAAAAACATAGAACATTTCTTTCTTATAATTAGTTCTTTTCCGACGTTATTTTGAAAAAAAAAAAATCAAATTACACCCTTGACAGGGATGTCATCCCCCCGGGAAATGGCAAAGGAGTTTAAATTATTTTCATTTTTGAACTTGAGAGTACGATAAACCTAATTTCAAAATTTCATACAAATTAGAGCACAGTAAAAAAAGTTTAGATACAAAACGCTCATATTGACTTGAGTAAATATTCCGTATCTGATGGCAAAAATATGAAAATACTAACGTTTGTATGTGAAAAAGAAAAGTGCTGTTTTTAGGGTTTTCCTGGTAATTATTCGATTTTTTGTCGACGTAAGAATCATCCTTAGACTTGAACGAACATTTTAAAAACAGAATTGGCCAAATCGGTCTAGGCGTTGTTGAGTTTTGCGCTTACCAACATATTTTGCGATTTATTTTTATATTATAGATACAATTTAAATCTGAACGAATTGCCTATTATAAAATCTGTTAATTATTTTTTCTAATCAAACCACTTCTCCTAGGCCTATAATATTTTGCAGTATTCATTTTTACTATAAACTGTCACCATGCAAAGTTTCATCAAAATCCAAGAAAAGTAAACCTGAGGTTCCCCTTGTGAGATATTAATTATCATATATTTTCCTTACCTTAATAAAATATTTCCTACTTCGTTTTTCTCAATTTAATATTTATTTCCCTTACCTTTATGAAATATCTCCCACTCCTCTTTTCTCGATGCAATTCGGTAATTATGATGGAACCATAATTGGGTGCATCAACCAAAAATGGTTCATCATTTTTGGTAAAACCATGGTGGCCTCCTAAGGCGGCTACAGCTGGTGCAATTGTGGTGTCATGTGCAGAAAATAGTCGCAATTTTTGGTATCTATATTTGTCTTTGTGGTTTATATAGTCGTTGAATTCTTTTAACATCATGTCTACGTAAATTCCTATAAAAGGGATAAAATTGATATTAATAATTAATAATGGATATTTTGGATGGATTTTTATGATGGTGGTGTACCTCCGGATTGTTGTCTTAAGTCAATTGTGCCAAAAGCAACTTGTAAAAATTGATATATGCACAAATCCATTTCTTGGAATAATTTTTCGTCCACCCATTCAGGTAGTGGCTTTTTAGCATTTTTCTTGAAGTAGAAATTGCATTTTATGTAAAGATTTAATCTTATGTTATATTTATTTACATGGAAAATATGATAAATATGGCTTCATTAAGATATTTTATTTTTGATTTATTTACGATGTTAATTGTATTTTTTTATTTTTAAATATCATAAAAGTTGCTACATAGATGATGTCATTAGAATTAGCATTTTTTCTTTAAGACATTTATATTCTAGTAAACTTGATAGAGGATTGCCAAAGCGATTGCAGATATCTAGTTTATAATCAACGTTTCAACAGATTTTTTTTTCGATGGGTTCAAAATTTGGAAAGTTACTTTGGACAAGATTTTGTTTCCTTACCTGAGCTTTATATAATTCGCTCATGTACCAAACTTTTAAAGGATCTGGTTTTTCTACACCCAAAGTTTTGTTCATCAGACCCATTGGCTTCATGCAATCATTCACTTGAACCAAATTTTCTTTCTTTTCAAAAAATGACTTAATTTGTAACAAGTAGGCTGGACATATCTCTTTTTTATAATAAAACTTTAACTGAAATATCAAATTAATTTTTACTAAATTGTTACATACCCGTATAAAATAAGTGTTTTTTTTAACTTACGAAAAATTCTTTTTCTGCATTAAGAGTTCTATTAAGATATTTATAAGTAGCCCATCGTCGTCTGAGAACATCTCTCTTATCCTGCAAAGAAAATTCGAATACTTTATTTTAAATTACATAAAATTTTTCAACATATATGTATATATTTATAAAATTAAAATAATTACATATCCCAATAATCCTCGAAGAACAATTTGTGCACTAATCAAAGATCTTTTATATTTCGTCGATTCCATTTGGATATCATCTCTGTATAACCTTGATCGTTTATACAATTTTTTGGCATATCTTTTTCTTAATTTTTCTCCCAAATTGTACATTGTGCTTTTTCCTAGCTGAATTGAGCAAATATTGATAAAATAATTCATGAAAATTTAACAAATATATCGATCTTACTGTAGTAAGTTGTCCTCTTCCATAAGGACTAAAAGTATCATTTATGTATTCATATTTTGGAAATTCTTGCATTTGTTCTGGATCTGGGGTTCTTTCGCCATGTCTGAACATCTAAATGAAAAATATTAAATATTTATGAAATTAGTTCCAAAAAGAGAAATTTAGTAGAAAATACTAAGTTAGAGAAAATTTTAGTTAAGCTTTTTTTATAAACTTTAATACATTATTTTAAATACGCCAACAATACAGTAACTCAATTTTAAATATGAAAACAAAATTTTTTCAATAAATTTTGAATGATAAAAATGCGAAATTTAGTATCAGTGTTTATGCTCGCATTTGGAAATTTAAAGACAATTCTTAATTAAAATCACCTCAATTTGAAATATGGAAACAACATATTTTCAATTAAACTTTGAATGATAAACATGCGAAATTTAGCACCAATTTTTATTCTTTTATTAAGAAATTATGATGATTTTATGTATGGTTCTATCTGTGGTATCATTTTAATCAATAATTTTAACTTAACTTAAATTTTTATTTCAGTCCTTTACAATTTTATTCTATTCGTAAATATATTTTTTTATTTAAAATATTACTTCATTATATTTATGTGACACAGTTATATACTAAAGTAATAATATTTTTATTATATAAATTTAAAATCACTAAAAATTTCATAGAAATGTATTTTTTTTATTTTACCCCAGTCACAAGCACTAATTTTGAAGCCGGTTTCCAGCATTGTTTTTTGGTTAAAACTTCTGACGAAATATTAAGCAATATAAATGAAATTAGTAAAATGTACTTCATTATTATATATTATTCAACTTTAAGTAGATACTGTAAATTTAACAACATTACATCTATTTAATACATTCAATATTGCGTTGATATTTAAACGAACAGTTGCATAAATATATTGCGAAATAATAAAAATCAATATTATTAATATTATATTTTCTATCGTGCTACAAAATTTGTTACATGATATAAAATAATTAAAATAATTTATAATATATATGAAAATATTTTTTTAATACTATAACTATATTTTTAGTTTCTTTTTTAATCTTTAATTTCATATTTTTTACGTGTATTATGTGGTATTAAAAATTGTTTCCTTGTGTCATTGCACACTTTTGGACTTCTTCTTTTGAAATTCTTATGGGTTGTACGAGATTTTTGTAGGTTTCTAAAGAACAGCAACTTGTGTTTCCACAGCCTTTTACTACTAATTCTGATTCTTTTCCATCATTCCAATATAATATCTGAAATTTTTGAATAAATCGATCAAATCTTACATTACATCTTTTAATAACTTTTATGCATGCATACAAATTATAAGAACTTTTTGGAGATTGCATTATTTGTTTGCAAATTTTATAAGTGCATTCACTTTATAAGAACTTGTTGAGTATCATCAATATTCATTGAAAAAATATTCTTTTATGGAATAATATGAATTAAAGTTTATGTAATAAAAATTGTAGTAAACAATTAACAAAAATTATTACCTTTATATAATGTTTACCATCTGAGCCTTTATAAAGTTCTGTTACAACAGTAGCACCATATTTAGGAATATTAACAGTAAAGTCCTGTCCATTTTTTGTAAATCCTTGGGAACCACCTAAAGCCGCCAATGCTGGTGCAACTGTGGTGTCATGTCCAGAAAATAGACGCAATAATTTATCTTTATTCGTATTTTTCTCGGCAATAAATCTGTCGAATTCTTTCAGCATCATATCCACATAAATTCCTAGATGAAGTAATTCATTTTATTTAGGAATTATTTTAAGCAGATGTCGTTATTTTAATAGATAATGTTTTTACCTCCTGATAATTGTTTCAATTGATTATTTCCAAATGCGATGTTTAAAAATTCTTGAATACATTGTTCCATTTTGCCGAACATGTCTGTAGTAGCCCAATTCGGAAGTTTAACTTTGGCACAATTCTGCAATAATATAATCAAATTTAAGATATGTGTTTAACTTGAAATAAAGAATGATTAACTTTTAATGAATAAAACATAAATTCAATATGAAATATTTTGTATTATTTTGACAACAGTTAAAGTGTTCGAATGAAATTTGAAGTTATCATACCTACCTAATACATTCTGGTAATAAATGATTGTGTCCATGATATTTTTCATAAACATACTAATTTACAAGGAAACAAGAACTTTTTTTTTTCATTTTGAAGTTTGACATGGACTTACCTGTGCTGTATATAATTCGTACATGTACCATACGTACAGAGGATTTGTAGCATCTTTCACACCAAGTACACCTCCCATTATTTCCATTGGTTTTCGACAAATAGCTAAGTTGGCTTTATGGGCATCAGCATTTGCTTTCATAAGTCCCAAATACTTCGGGCATTGTTTGTTGTAATAATTTTTATACTGCAAATGTAAATTATCAGTACTTTCTCAAAATTCTCAAATAATGAGTTAATGCACAGTGCATTTAGTCGTAAATCAACGTACCAATTCCTCTTTTTCTGTATTTAATGTATTCTTCAAATATTTGATACTACCCCAATCAAACTTTGCCGGATCTCTGCTCTGCAAAAAACAATAATTTAATATCTCATCTTCTACAAAAAAAATTCTAGTTTTACCTCGCCAAGTAAGGCGTTTAAAACAATCTGAGCGCTGATCAGACATCGTTGATATTTTGTTGATTCCATTCTAACTTGGTTTCTTGTAACACAGTCTTTGCCATATAATTTATCAATATATTTTTCCTTTAGTTTAAGACCTAATTTATGCATTGTTTCTTTACCTTCCTGAAAATAAAAGCTCAAATCAAGTTTTTATAAAAATATTTCTAATCATTATATGTATTTGAATTATAAAAAATTAGACTTGCAAACTTGAATAAAAATGACAATGGTATAAGTTATTTGATATATAAAAATCGTTTTTAATCTTGTAATCAGTCACGTAATTTTATCACCCAATTAACTTACCTTTGTAAGTTGACCTAGTCCATAAGGTTGAAATGTATTATTTGCCTGCTCATATTTTGGGAAAACCATCATTTGCTCAGGCTCCGGTGTTCTCTCACCATGTCTAAACATCTATAAAAATACATAAAATGACATTCTAATCTATCATTTATTTATTGTTTTTTTTTCAAGTACCGCTGAAACTAGCAACAATTTTGAATCTTTTCCACATTGTTGTGCTGACAAACTTTGAACTAAAACAAATAGAACAAATATTTTAAACTCCATCATTAAAAGTATTTTTAGTATGAATCAAATGGCTCAATTAATAAACTAGTTATAATTTTAGTTTGGTGTGCCTGTTTATATTTTTATTGATACTATTTCAAAATACCAAAAAAAACATAAATATTATGATCAACATTTTAAGAACTTTGCCAATATGGTGTTTCAATATATGCCTCTAACATTGCAGGGGTGTAAAAATTATTGTCATAGATAATTTATTTTTAACTTCCCGAAGGAGAAGTTTGTTTTCATCAAAAAATCCGAATTGCTAATTTTATGTTTTCTCGACGTTTCAAGCCATTCTGAATCGAATGAGACCAAATTTGGAAAAAGTATATGTGTGTGTGTGTGTGTGTGAACAGATTTTTTGCCGTAAATCGACGTTTTATCAAAAACGGCTGGGTCGATTTCAAAAATTTAAAAGCCATTCGATGTATCTCGACGAGAACTATTGTTTGTCAGTTTTGTGCGATGATCGGCCAAGCCGTTTCTTTATAAATAGCAGAAAAGTGAAAAGATTTTCGTCTACGTTTTAGCCCGGAATTCTGAATCGATTTTGAAAATTCAAAAACTGTTCGAAAGATATTGGTTGGGAATCGTGCTGATTAGTTTTTGGTAGAGATCGACTGGGCCGTTTTCTTGTAATAAAGTTTTTTAAAAAAAAATTTCGACGATTTTCATAATTATTTTTTTGACGGTAGATACCATAGTCTTCTAGATCAGGGCTTCTTAAACTTTTTTATATAGCGACCCCCTTCAAGCTCAGGAAATTTTTAACGACCCCCTCCTTCATATAATGAAATAATAATAAAATATATATTAACCGTAGATGTAGATGTAATATCACACTATTTTACAATGTAAATAAAATAAGAATTAAAGAATACGTATCCATTTATTTCACACACACACACACACACATATATATATATATATATATATATATATATATATATATATATATATATTATATATATATATATATAATATACGATATATATATATATATATATATATATATATATAATATACGATATATATATATATATATATATATATATTTTATTCAATAGAAAAAATAAACTTTTGTAACATTTTTTCCAATAAAAACATATTATTAATATCAAACATATTAATGTGACGGATGTGATTGTTTATTTTTACACAATAATTAAATCTAGGCTCAATTTGAGTTAGTGCAGATCGTAATAAATTTTTCTACTGTTTATTAAGTTGGACGGTATTTTGATTTTATATAAGTTAATGTGGAAAAGGCTGATTCACATAAATATGTTGTACAAAATGGCAGTAATTTTTTCATTGCTATTTCCGATAGTAGGGGATATTCTGATTTCATTTCTATCCAAAATTCATGCACAGGCACTTGAGAAAATCTTAGTCGCAAGGTTGTATCACTTGATAATTCGGCAAATTCTTCTTGTGCTTTTAAGTTTAAAAAATTCATTTCTTCGATTTCAATTGAAAATGGATTGCAAATTCATTGGTGTGTATCGATATCATTGGGAAAATACCTATGCATATAAACTTCCATATCCTTCAAATGATTAAATATAATTTATGTTATGTTATAGGAGTATCTTTTATTGAAATATTGTTACTAATTATATACTCGTCAGTAAATGATTTCGAGCGATCCACTTTCCACTCTGTTCTTCCATATAAGAATTTTTTTAACAAGGGCCTCAAGTTAATTTTTTAACATAAATATATTAGCGCAGACTCCCTGCATTGATAAATTCACATCATTGATTTTATCAAAAATGTCTGCCAAAAAGCATAGCTTGATAAGCCATAAATTATCGTGAAAATAATCGGCCAAATTAGAATTTTGCTCTGTTAGAAATATAAAAACTTCATCTTTTAAAGTTAATAATCGTTTCAAACTTCGACCTCTTGATAGCCACCTAACTTCAGCATGTAGCAATAAACTTGTATAATCCGAATCCATATAAATGCACAAATTTTCAAACAATCGACTATTAAGTGCTCGACTTTTAATAAAGTTAATGATTTTGACTGCATCAGAAAACACAGTGTTTAATTCTGGTGCGATTTTTTTAACAACAAGTGCCTCTCGGTGAATCATACGATGCCAATAGATATTTATCATTCAAAGTAACATACTTCTCCAAAGTGTTTTTCTTTTACACAAGTAAATTTTATTTATAATGACTGAAAAGTATCTGAGCTGTGCGACCCCCGTCCAGTAGTCTCGCGACCCCCCTGGGGGTCGCAACCCCCACTTTAAGAAACCCTGTTCTAGATCATACTAAAACATTACGGTCCTACGACAACCGGTTCAGCTTTAAAAATTCGTCAAAGTTTGCAAAAATTGGTGTCGTTTTTTTGGCATTTGTCAAAATTAGACCTTTGATCGACGCTTTCTCAAAAACGCCTGAACCGATTTTAGAAATTTAAAAGCCATTTGAAGTATTTCGGTGAGGACTATCGTTTGTCAGTTTTGTGCGACGATCTGCCAAGCCGTTTCTTTGCAATTTGACAAAAAGTGTTAAACATTTCGTCCACATTTAAGCTCATCCTACCGAACCGATTTTAAAAAATTAAAAACTGTTCGAAAGATATTAGTTGGGAATGATACTGATTAATTTTAGGTGAAAATATACCGAGCCGTTTTCTTGTAATTAACTGTTGAAAAAAAAAATCAAGCCGATTTTTATGGATTTTTTTTAGCGATATATACCATGGTCTTATAGAGCTTACTGAAATATTACGGCCTTACGACAAATAGTTTGATTTTAAAAATTCATCAAAGTTTGAGAAAATGAGTAGTTCTTTTGACATTTGTTAAAATTAAAATTAGACTATTTACTTGGTATAAAGATAGAGTACTTGGTCTTGAACATAATAAACCATTAAAGTCCTAGAAACTGGTTCAGATATAAAAATTATTGATTTTTGAAAATTTGCTTTTAGAAAATACTCCGAGTTAACGTGTTCTTACGTTTTCAATTATGTGTAATAAATCCACTCGGTATACTATTAATCACTCATAAATTAATTTATTTTTTATTGATTAAGTCAATTATCTAAACATATCGGGAAGTTCATGTAACTTGCCTCAAGGCTAAATACCAAACCAACTAGTTGTTTATTAATTTCATAAGTTTTATATGCTTTGCTTTACAGAGAAAGATTGAAACAACAATTTTAATTTTTAATTTTGATAATTTATTAGATTAGAGATTATTAAATCATTTTTACCTTACCTTAAACTTGAAGTATCTTGTTTTGCGTCTGTTTTTAAACAGAAGCAAACCTAGTGTACCTATGTATACTTTATCTAATTTGTATAAAGACAGCAAAGCTTTAAAAAATTGATCTATTTTATCTTTTAAAAATGTATTAATGTAATATTAAATTAATTAATTAATTATTAATCTTTATTACAAATTTTGAATTTATTCTTTTAATTTTCCAGGTGTCCATGAAACCCAGTACACAGAACAGCAACTTCTGGACCAGCTAGAAGCTTGCGCCGAGAGCTTGGAGCTTTCGGAGAGATACGAGCTTTTGGGTAGCTTATATCGGCTCATACTGCCAATTCACGAACGTAGAAGGGACTACGAGGCTTTGGCCGCCTGCTACGGCCGATTGAGAGAGGCCTGTCTACGCGTAGCCGAAGTCGCTAGAACCGGAAAAAGATTACTAGGTAGGATGATATATACAGGGTGTCCCAGAACTCAACGTCAAGTCCTAACGCGGTGATAGTATTGACCTTAAAAAATTTAGAAAAAGTCATTTATATTTTTACTCGAAATGTTTCAATAATAATATTTTGAAGTACTTTACCATTTTACAATCCTGATTAAATGCGCCAACTTTTCGTGAAACTTGCCAGCATACTTCATTACATTTTTTTAAAAAAAGGCATCTCACAGTCGACCGTGTTAGTCGACATAGTTTAAGAATTAAACTTAATTTTTGGATTTCTTGTGGTATGTGGTATTTTGACTTGGATTTCTTGTGGTATTTTTTTAACTCCTAGAAATGTTGTCCAATGTTTAAAAACAAAATTAATAAAAGTTAATTACAATAACAGACAAATGGCCATAATTTACAAAAGCTCTAGGTTGCACTTAAAAACTCATTTCCAAATTCCAAACTTTGTGAGATACTTTGTTTATAATTTTTTTTTCAGAACAGTTTTAAGGTCGAGACATGGTATCAGCCGTGAACTAAATTCTATACTTTTGGTTGAAGAAAAAATATAGAATTGTTATTACAATAATCTGAATGACAGTGAATTCAAAATGGTTTCAAAGAAACATTTTAATGCAAAATTATGAATTATCTATATGACATAAATTGTCTATTTGTATCTAGAAACTGGGCCGGCCACTCTAAGATTTGAAGTTTTCTGCCTGCTCAATTATTTTTTGACTATTTTACAATATTCTTGTGGGAAAAATATTACATTTTTAGCCAAACTATTTTACTTTTGGACATTTCCAAAATTTAACATAACTAATTCTAAATCGATGGCGATTGAATTTGTGTAAAATTAATTGATGAAAAAAAATGTATAAAAATTAGTTTGAAAGTTTCGGCTTGTATAGTATTGGCGGAGTTGGATTTATTCGAATAATTTATGAAGAATATCATCTGGAATATTTAATAGAATTATATCGATTATTGTTAATATTATTATTGTGAAAATGTTCTAATCGTCTGTTTAGGCATACCTTGGCTGCTTACGATTGTTGTTTTCAAATTCAATAATTCTTATTTTTAACAAATATTATTGAAAATTTGTGAAAACATAAATAATATTAGGAAAATTTCTATATTATTGAAGAAGGTTATGAAATAATTTTCACTTTTAATTTTTAGTTAGGAAAATTTGTATATTATTGAAGAAGATGCTGAAATAATTTTTACGCATGATTCTTGAATTTTACGAATATTTTTATTAATTATGTTGGTATTATCAATTTTAATAATGGTATTAGTAATATCAATTCTAAATATTACTAATAATGCAATAATCGGACAATTTCAAAAAAATGTTTCAAAATTATATAATTATAAAAAATAACATAAAAGAAATCGGTGGAAAAAATATAAATAACTCTTAAGGGTGGCTAACCCTTACAAACAAATAATTCGAATCTATAGAAATGGTTATAAAAATAATGCATAGAAATAAATGATAGAAATTATCCAAAATTCTACGCTACATTCTGAGGGCAATTCTGCCTCATAACATGACGTTGTCATGGCAACTCTATTTGCTGTGCAATCAGGCGTATTTTATATAAGCAAGCAAAGAAGATTCTTACGATGCAAATTCTGTTATCATAACATTTTTCCCTGCTTGTTTTTATGTAAAATAGGTCTGATCACACCGCAAATATCTAGACATTTTCACAGTTTCACTGCCAATAAATAAGCATAAGATAGCGTTGCCATGACAATACTATTTTATGAGGCAGAATAGAATTGCCCGGTCTATCTCTATTGATTGGAATATCAACCAAGTTTGTCTTCAATAATTGAAATAAATGAAATTACCATAATTTATTACAGGTCGATATTACCGAGTTGCCTTTTTCGGTCGAGCATATTTCGAGGAAGAAGATGGTGTCGAATATGTTTACAAGGAACCAAAACTTACTGGTTTAGGAGAAATCACCGAAAGGCTGCACAAACTCTATTCTGACAAATTTGGAGTTGAAGTCGTGAGGATGGTCAACGATTCTTCACAGGTTGGGAAATAAAA